CTGCGCCTGCCACGGAAAATGCATCTTTGCAGATGCTCTTCAAATGTCCCACGCCTGCCATCTTTTTTGGAAATGCTACAAAACCTTCACGTGTTGCTCATTTTTCACTTGCAAATGTGCTTCACGCCACCACGGCATACGCTTTTTCGACATCGCAACTTCCAAAAGTGGTCCGAACCTGGTGTGTTTTGTACATTTTGACATGGAAATGTGCTTCGCGCCACAACGGCGTGCAATTTTTCATCTCTCATCTGGCCAGATGGCTCCGCACCCGCCGCTTTAGCGAGCCTACCTTTCGACCCTCTGGAGCCACAAATCATTGGAAAAATACAGCGTTTCGCGACTTTCCTACCTTTTCGCGCACCTGCATCTTCTTTCTTCTGACTCTTTCTCTTCTCTGGTCTTCTCTCTTCTGCTCTTCTCTTCTCTTTTCTTCTGCTCCACCTCTGCTTTTTATCTGTCCATATTGTCGGAAGTTTGACTTCTAAACTTCCTTCGGTTACATCACCACTAGACCCAATGAAAATCCCATCAAATCACCATGATTCCTACTGGTTGGCGGTTTGGAACAGGAATCTTATTTTTCCCATCATATTGGGAATGTCATCATCCCAACTGACGAACTCCATCATTTTTCAAAAGGGTAGGCTCAACCACCAACCAGTATATATGTTTGGGGAGATATTTGGGAAAACATTGGAATAATAGAGTTGACTAATCTTTCCCACTGACTTTCATATTTTTCAAGATGGTTATTGCACCACCAACCAATTATTCCTAGATAATTTGTCCACTCATCGACCATTCACAAAATGTTCACCTTAGGCCCGTCCAGATGAACCTGGCCCGGACGCCCACGGGAGATAGCGACTGGCAGTGACTGGATGGCTGGGGATTTGTTTGGGGTTTAAAAGCATGGCATGAGGTGTTTTGACCAGCAAAATTTGCGAGTTTGCCATGGTTGAGCCATGTTTAACAATGTTTAACTTCATGTGCAAGCATCGATTTGTAGGGGTTTAGCCATGAATCATGCGAATTTGAAGAAACAAATTCGGGTTGAACAGCAAACACAGGGGTAAATTCACTGGTAAAGGTCAGTTGAGTACTTTAGTTTTTTGCCATTGCATTGCAGTCCGCTATTGTGAGTGTGCCAGAAATGGTAATATAAAAACTGACCAGCCGTCGCTGTTTGTTTTTTTTTGCGGGTAGCTAGGATTGGCACTACATCGAAATGTTTGATCATTTTTGACATGGTTAAATCCAATTAAATCCATTAAATCACCATCTAAATCCCATGTTTGATCATTTTTGACTGCTAATTTGTTCTGCATGTTGTTATGGTTGACATCTTGTATTTCATGGGATCACGTCTCCTTGTTCATTGATTCTTCACAATACTTCAATAACCTGTACATATATACTTATATATATATATACATGTTGGAAATGTACATCCAAATAGCCATACATGTATACATATAGATCTGTATAATCACATCCTCAGGCGGCGCAACTGGAGCACAGAATGCGCGCAGGCAGGTACTGCGCGGTAGAATGCGCCTGCTGTGCCTGCGCGGTTGAGACCTTTGGGGATCGATTTTGGGCGGTGATTTGGTATAGATATTATATTAAGACATTTTAAGGTGACCTGGTTCCTTAGGTTGGTCTATCACTTCAATAATTCAGGTTTATGATAATTACATGCATGTATTTAAAAAAAACAATGTGGATTTAAAAAAAAACTGATAAAGTGGGAGGGGCACCACCTTGTATAGATTTGTATAGTGTATAGAGTACCTAACAGGTTAGTCCCATCCCCTAAAAATATAAACATATCCCCATCCCCTAAAAATATAAACATACCCTACATGGGTCCCAAAAAGTGTGCCTTACTGACCAGTTCTGGGAGGCAGTTCTGGGTACCTTTTTCACTCATCCTTATGACTTGTACTAATGGGTACTTGATGGCTCAACCTACTGAAAATAGCTTTGAAAATGGTGATTTATAGTGAGTTTTCCCATTAAAAATTGTGATTTTCCATAGTTATGTTAGTTTACCAGAGGGTAAAGATAGCAATTTTGATGATTTTGGGCCGTCGACAAAGGTTCAACCGTGAAGCATTGCACAAAAATCCCGTTTTAGCACACCGTACTCATGCATCCTTCCATTGTACAGTGCATGTGTACGTGTCTAGCTTGTACAGTTCAGCCGAAGTTTTTCATTTTCGGTTGGTGGTATCTGGTTGGAAATTTCATGTGCTCAGCTTTTAGCTGGGCTTCGGGCGAACCGACCAACCTGATGCCTTCTAGCATCGCATACCATGTGCGATGCCTAAAAATTCGCATTTTGACCAGCACCACGTTTCCCTGGCAGGCAAAGCCTTAAATTCCAGGGCTTCCTGTTAGGGAAGGGTGCCAAGCGGTGAATTGATCGTCCAGGCGACGACTTCCTGCTGTGCCTTTTTTCAGCTTTCGCAGTGTCGCCTTGCAAGACATATACATGTGGCGTTGAGGCACTTTCGACACCTGCCTGCTGGGATCCACTTGAAGCCTGTCTTTTCTTTGATGGAATGACTTGGATGATGACTGGGGGTACACCCAAGTTAGGAAACCTCCATATTGTATTATATATAAATATATTATATATTAAAGGGAAATAGAGTGCTGAAATACTTGAAGGGAACACACACACACACAAAATGGATGTAAATGCCTAACTTTTTGTATCAACAATGAGATTGATGCTAATATACATATGTTTGCATGTCTGATATCAAGCATGTTGGTGAGTGACCCGGCTTAAGGATAGGCTAGTTTAGCTGCAGCAACGATAGTCCAGCATTGTGCAGCTTGTGGATAGCCAAGGAAGGCTACTGTATCCCATATGCGAACCATAGTGCTGGTATATGCAAACCTACATGACTGGGTGATTTTGGACAAGGGCAAATGTTGGGATTCATATTCCAGCACCATGGTTCGCATATGGGTATAACTCAAAAATCAAGGGAGATGAATGGTTTTGTGACTTACTCCATGACTTACTGGTGCTTAGTAGGGAATCGATGGGAATGGAATGGGATGATTATTGATAGTTAGCCAGTGGATCATTCCCAAAAATTCCCTACTAATTACAGTTATGGCCCTTTACCAGTTATAAGTACTTATAACCCCATTTATAGAATGTATAATCCCACTGAAATAACCAGTTAGAACTGATTTTTATGGCCATAACTGTAAGCACCAGTAAGATCCAGTAAGATGATTTGGGACCTTGGAAATAGCGTGGGGGTTTCCCCCCGTCCAACGAGTCCAACGAGTCGTAACTCGAGCATTTCGAAGGTTCCAACATCGCCAGTTGCTTCGGATGTTTACTATGAAGCAACATACGGTTGGTGGTGCCCCCAAGATAGCGTTCAGTTGGTTTATAACTCCAATAACTATGGTTTATGGTACTTATAACTATAGTTAATGGGATTATACACCAACTTATAACTTGGGGGGCACCACCTTGTAGGGCTTTGTCTCATTCTTTTTTGTTCGTCTTTCGCGAATCCCGGGCAAGGTGAGACTCAACCCGCACATATCGCAGATCGCCGCCGCTTGTCTTCATAAAGTAATGTGCTGTGCTCATGTGCTCCGTTTCTTGTGATGAAACAGTGCCGGCGATTCGGCGTGACAGAGCAGTATAATTACAGCCGAACAAAAAGTGGATGAGCACTGCAGAAGATGAGGAAAAGTTGGAACATGGAAGCACCCAAACGGAACAGGACATTTTCGGAAAAGTGGGAACATGATCAAATGATATGAGTTTTCTTATTGTTGGCTCAGCCATGTTTCAAAAATGACGAGTTAATGCACCAGTTTCTGGCCCTTTTTCTTCATTGGTGAAGATGATCAGGTGGAAAACTTGGAGGTATCCATATCCCATTTTTGGACCAAGACATTGTTCAATGGCCATGACGAACTGGAACCGATTGATTGGAGGTACCGATTCCATATATTTTTGGCCTATTTTTTAGGCCTATGTAAGGGAATATCCCATTGAATTGTACTTAGTTTTTTGTTGTTTCCACCTTTGGTTGATAAAAAATGAAGGGTGACTTCCAGTTTTGTGCAACCATCCTGGGTAAGCAAATGGCTTTGTGAGAAAATAGGCTACCCCCAATTCCAGCAGACTATCATCAGTTTCCCCATCAAAAGTGCATGGAAAATTTGGGAATCCCCCCCCAGTTTTTTTAGACGACCCCAGTTATGATGGTGTATTTTTTTCATGCTGGCCTGATACAGATGAGGAGCATAGCAGGGTGATGTTTGAGTTTCTTAGCTAAGATTGTTTATGCGAACGGTAGCTAGGATTTATAGTTTATACTATATCATACGGTATATCTATAAATATAGTCGGTTGTGGGTGTATAGACCAATTGCATGGCTACACCCCATTATTTTGGGCTCAAATCTGCAATATACGTGTTATCTCTGTCCATTGAAGTGTTTACTTTCGAAGATGATACAAAGATACAAAGTGAGGAAGCTGCGACTCAGTTTGAGTCTACTTGGAGGATCATCGGACTGAAAAAAAGCTGGTTAGTAAACAAAGTTGTAACCCACTTACAAATGGGATAACCAACTTAGGGACTTACTTACCAGGGTTGTTGACCGTAAAAACGATTCGTGGATCCTCCAAGTATGATCCAGCTGGCGAGGGTTGGCCCATGGACAGCCACCTTTTGTTAGGCTCACTTCCTGGTTTACTGTATCATTGTCCTCGTTTTTGTTCAAAAGATACTCCATCTAGAAAACTTGCGCAGTACTCGTATAGATTCAAGACTGTGATTGTTTTTCCAATAAGTTTCCCAACAGGATTTTGATATCTCTGGTGTTCCTCTCAAAAATTACCAACTCATCCCAAACTATCAACGCATTTTTTTTTCTACATATGTTACTATGTTCAAACTCCATCAACCAAGCATTTTCCCCATCTCCACGGCACGGCGGCGGCCATGGCGGCCCGCCGCGACGGCCGCGCGGCCAACCAGCTGCGGCCGCCGCAGATGGAGCTGCGGCCGCTGCTCCGTGCGGACGGCTCCGCGCGCTTCCGCTTCGGCGACACCGCCGTGCCGTGGAGCCGGACGGAGCGGCGTCGGGGGTGGACTTAACGGGACTTGAAGAGGGATAGCAACTATGGGGATATGGTACAAGGTGGTGCCCCCCAAGTTATAAGTTGGTTTATAATCCCATTAACTATAGTTATAAGTAATTACCATAACCATAGTTATTGGAGTTATAAACCAACTGAACGCTATCGACTGGGGGCACCACCTTGTATCTATAAGGATATGGAATAGAAACTAAGACTGGGGATATGATATCTATGTATGTCTATAAGTCGTATACGGATATATGAGAAAGTACGGTGATTTCATGGGGCTTGAAGGGAGTTACGCAGTGAATACCTGGTGGTGTTTTAGGATTTTATGCTGATTTTAGGGGACTTCAGCATGAACATGGTGATTTTCATGGGACTTTATCATGGGTCATTAAATGTCCCCATTGAACATCACCCAACCATTAGGTATATGGTCTATAATGGCTACTATAAGGTGATGTCCAATATTCCCAAAATGGGACATTTACCAATCCCTGTTTATCGAATGAATAATTAAACAATATCAGATTTATTAAGATTTAAGGGGAGTTCATAGGATTTAATTGAAATATAGCGGTGATGCAAGAAAAATCATGGATAGTTATGTTGCTGATGCAATTATTAAACATGCGGTTACGAGATATAATAGGGATGTTGGGGAAAAATCATGAAGAAATCTGATTTAACTATCAACAATGGTGATTTTGTCGGATTTAACCTTCAACAAATTGTGTTTCATTGGGACTTAGCTATGAACACTGATGGTTTATTGGGATTTAACCATGAAGCATCGTGACTTTATGGCAGTTCATGAGATTTACCCAGCAAATAGTACAGGCAATCGACAAAGTCGTTCCTTTTTTAAAGAAATGTCTATATTTAGTTGCGTCGAAGCTTTCCCTGGAAGTCGTGCCTTTTTGCAAAACGCAAGCAAACTCTGGTGATCACAGCGCAACCATGTTTTTAAGTGTTTTTGTGTTCTTGCGTTCAGCTTGGGTTTAGGTATCTAGTTATGCTTAGGGTATATGTAGTTTTTGTTGCGTTCAGTTGGGGGGAAACTTTTTTTGTTGCAGCTGCTTTCTTATCAGTGACTTCTGTACGTTCAACTGTATTCAACTACTGTTAAGCTGCTGCTCAATTGCTGGCTGTTGCTCAGTTGCTGCCGCTGGCTACTGCCAAACTGCTGCTGGATTGCTTCTGAACTACTACCTACCGCTAGGCTTACGTCGTACCAAGTGACCTGAAGTCGTATCACACCTGCGTGCGCGCAGTGTTTCGTTTAGATTTTGATGGTTCTTTTCTTTATTTGACTGGCTGTTGATTTGAATACTGTTTCATCGCTGTGGGCAGTGTATTCTTGACATGATTCTACTTATATTATAACCCTGTATGGTATTGATTGCAATCTTTATGGTGTCATTGTCAATAGTTCCGTGGGAGGCGTGCCCATTGAAACTTATCATATTTAGGTTCTGTATGGTTCTGTCCCCTCCTGTTGGAATCTGTGCCTGCTGGAATCTGCCTGCTTGTGCTCGGTTCTGCCCGCTTGCGCTGGGTTCTGCGTGCTGCTGCTGGGTTCTGCCTGCTGTTGCTGCGTTCTGCCTGCTGCTGCCTGCTGCTGCTGGGTTCTGGGTTCTGCACTGCTGGGTTCTGCCCGCTTGTGGCGGGTCCTGCCTGCTTGTGCTTGGTTGTGGTTCTTGGTTCTGCCTGCTGCTCCTAGGTTCTGCCTGCTGCTCCTAGGTTCTGCCTGCTGCTCCTGGGTTCTGCCTGCTGCTGCTGCTGCTGCTGCTGCTGCTGCTGGGTTCTGCCTGCTTGTGCTGCGTCAATGCCTGATGCCATGTAGGCTTCTCCTTCATGTGATTCAACCTTCCGATTTTACTTTCCGGGAGTTTGCTGCTGCCAGGGCTCGGATCTCGTTTGCATCTCGTTTTGATCTCGTTTTTCCAGGCTTAAATTTCCTGGTCCTTTCCCCTTCCCTGCCCTTCTTTGGTTGCTCTTTGGTATCTTTGGTTGGTGCTCTCGCATTCCTCTTGCTCTCTTCTTAGGGCAGGTGCTGCTGGTGGATGTTTGCTGCAGCTGGTCTCCCTCTTTGCTTGGTCGTTGTTTCTTGTCTCTGCCTGTCCAGTGCTGCTGGGTGGGTGCTGTTGAGGCACACCAGGCACATCATGCGAAATGCAGGTGAGTAGGAGACAAGTGGGTGACAAGTGGAGACAAGTGGAGACAAGTGGGAGACGAGTGTACAACATTGTATAACCAGGCGGCCCAGAGCACCCAGACCGTAGTCGGAGAGCATGCCAGGAATGCAAGCCTGGAGACAGAAGCAAAATAATGTGACCCAGGACTGCAACCCTTTCAAAGGAGTAAGGACTTACAAACTGCCTTGGCCTCTTTCTGTGTAAGGGGACCATAGCCACCCAGAGAACCCCATACAGATAAACCTGTTTGGGGAAGAAAGTGGGCAAAGAAGAAACAGTGAATCGCAAGCACAGGGAAGAGAAAAAAGGGTGAAAGTGAAAGGTTCTGATTTGGAAAGGGTTATTTTGACGCTTGCGTTCACAATGGGGGAAGACCGAAAGGCATGACTTAGGCATGACTTCTTGATGTTGCGTTCACAAGCGGGGAAAGCGAAAGGAGTAACTTAGGCATGACTTTGTCAAATCCCTGTACTGTAGGATTTCAAACCGTGGAACCGAGAATAAACGTCTAAGTGGGGATTGTTATTTAGACGCTTTCTGGGTAAACCCACGGATTCTTCATCGGGTTTAGCCACAGCTTACCATGACTTGATTTCAGTTGGACCAGCTGGTCATGGGGATTGCGGTGATATGTATCAGGTTTTTTTAACCGCAATTTACAGGTCTTTAACCAAGGGATACCAAGGGATATCTCTAACTAGCAACAAGGATATGTTCTCATTGATAGCGAGCAAATAACAGAGGCACAATGTGGGGGCCCCCAGATAGAAGTTGGTTTGTAAATCACATAAAGAAATATAGTCGCAAGATGTCGCAAGTACCATGAACCATACTTGTTGGAGTTATAAACCAAGTTAGCTATCTTGGGAGCCCGACATTGTATAATGATATGATATAATGGAATCAATTAATGGAACATTGGTAAATGCAAAAACTGTAGTGGGCATAGCTTTAAAAATATCGAGCAAGACTTCCTTGGTTAAACCTCCATTTTTCCTAGTGAAGTTCCCAATAAATCATTGTGTGTCATTTGTCATTTGTCATTTGTCACCTTAATGTGTTATCGTGAAACGTCCCCCACTAAGGTTCTTCACGATACACTTACATCATATCCCCATTATGTGTTGATTCAATTCCGTCCAATCCCACTAGATCACCTTTTTTTACAGTTCAATCACAATAAATGATCATAGTTCCAGATGTTTTTTTGATAAATCCCTGCCTAAATCTCAGCAACACCTATGTTAGTTCACCTCAGGGTAGAAGGGTAGAATTTTGTAGGGTAGTCAGTCATAGGAGCCAGGACTTCCAAGACAATGGGTCCTGGCAAGCATGGCTCGTCTCATCTGGGGACCAAGGTGGTGTGTGCCGTCTTCGGCCCCCGCGAGCCACGCTTTCGGCATCGGGAGCTCTTTGATCGAGCGTCCTTGGAGGCAGCGATGGGTCAAAACTTCAGAATTACCTGGAGGACCTCAGCTGGTTTGGAACATGTTTTATTTTTCCATATACCAATATAGGGAACGTAACAATGTAACAATTTATTTTAATGGTATATATTCCAATACATTGTAACAAACCCAATGATTATTCCCAATATATGGTATACTGGCTGGTGGTTTCAAACATTTTTTTTGTTCCATATATTGGGAACAATCATCCCAACTGACTTTCATAGTTTGCAGAGGGGTAGGCTCAACCACCAACCAGACAGAATTTCGTCGATTTGTTATTGTCGGGGTACCCAATTTTGACTCATCAACATCCACGGTATTGATTCAATAAAGATAGTAACATTGATTTAATACTACCCTATGGTAAATGTGAAAATAAACATAGACCCTGAAAATGACAATTTTTTAGTGGAAACTAATCTTCCAACCCCCATTTGCCAGGGTCTATGTTAATTTACTGGAGGGTAACATCTAAGAACCTCAAAAGTTGATTTAAGTATATAATAGTATATACCATTTTTGACTTAAGGATAGACATCAATATTGAGCTTGATTTGCCGGTGATTTATTGGTTAACGTTGAGGTTTGTGGGATATATATATATATTATATATTATATATAATATATATATTATATATATATATATTATATTATATATATATGATATATATATATATTATATATACTATATATATTATATATATATGATATATATATATATGTATTTGACAATAGTTATATAACCGGGTTAATAAATCAACTTATAACTGGCGGGTCTCACCCTGCATGACAAATGAGTGAAATTATCTATGTGAAATAATTTTGAGAATCACACTCAAAAAGGATGACAAATCACAATTTAGGCCCAAGAAGGTTTTTTGAAAAAGGGTGAATTGTTTATTTTGTTTTTTTGCAATTTGGGTTTGTCTGAAAGTGGGTTCTACTCCGGCAACATGGGATTTTGGAATACCCTATTTTCAGTCAAACCCATTCATTAGTCAATATGTTACTATACTCGTGATGATAGTTGAACATGACGCTTACATTGTTTCACATCCTTTCCGTAGTTACAGGGATTCGGTTTCATTACTAAGAAGAGACCATGGATGGCGAAAATGTCCAGTTGACATGTGACAATATGGGGGTGGGAGTGGGAAAAAACTGAAATTTCCTGCATGATACACAGTGGTGCCCCAGTTTGTTAGCTAGGTTGGCTTTTTACCCGGGCTAACTCGGGACAACTGGTTTTATGGTGTCTGTGTGTCTAGAGTTAGATGGGTGAAACCCAAAATGTCTAGCCGAAAAATCTCTGGTGATGAAGTTCAGCAAGACTGCTATCATGTCAGCAAGAAATTGACTACAGTGGCTACCTGGTTGGTGGTTTGGAACATTTTTATGTTTCCGTTCAGTTGGGAATGCCATCATCCCAACTGACGAACTCCATGATTTTTCAGGGTGGTTCAACCACCAACCAGCTACATACATGAGTCTGCTCCGGTCCGTGTATGCGCCATGGTGTCAAAACTTGTTTTTTTCTTCCCCCGTATTGGGGATGGTCTAACCGTGTCTAACCAATCCATTTTTGGGGGTTATATATATATATATATACCCTCTGGCAATTTGTTACAGTTTGCTATTGAAGCCATGGCCATCATAGAAATAGTTGATTTACCTAATAGCATGGTGATTATGGCCCAGTCGAAATAGTTGATTTACCTATTAAATCTGGGTAAATTATAACGACCTCACTGATCTCCCTCACTGGAAATCATGGTTAGTAAGGGAAATCATCCCCAAATGGCCGCAAGATTCAGGTTAGTGAAATATTATAATTTACGCAGATTTATCATAACCAGAGGCTATTCATAATATATTATCCATTATTAACCATTAATAACCATTATATAACCATTAATAGCATGGTGATTTTAGCCACCGGTTTTTTGTTGGTCAACGTTGACCGGCCGCCGGGTCGCCGGATTTTTGATCGGCTCATCCCATGCTGGGATGATGTGAAAAAGATCGCACCATGGGAGCGATGTTTCGATGGGAAAACATATGAAATCAGAAGCAATCACCTATTAAAACCTATAAAAACCATATCATTAATCCAGGTGTTTCGATGATCATATAGGGTCTATTAAAACCAAAAAAAAATATGAATCATTCCATAAAAAAGATCCTTAAAAATGGTGAAATCATGCCTGAATTTGCTATGCTTTGTCCATCCCCTCTTTCAAACATCCGTTTGGGGGAGCTTTTTGGGAGCCACGAGGTTGTGGTTCGGCCACGGATTGGCATTCCTGGGCCCAAAGAGCGGCAGATGCTGGGCTGGTGGAAACCCAAAATCACAACTTTTGATGGGTGGCATACCCATAGGATCCATGTATGGTATATTTGCTAACATAAAGGGGGTATATTGATGGTAAATGTTACCATATATGGCGGCACCATGGATCCTATGGCATAGACCATGAAAATCTGAATGGTCGATCATTGCTTTACTAACAGTACTAAGAGTACTAGAGTACGACATGAATAAATATGTGGAGGGCGGGCCAGACGGCGCCTGGCCCCGGAGGTAGTATGAAATGCCAGTTCGTATATTTAAATGTAGTTGCAGTATGTTTAAATGAATTGGATTCCGTATGTTTAAATGGCTGGGCGGGCCAAGGAAAACCTTCCCGGAGGTAGTCTAAAAATGTCTAAAATACCTATTCGTATATTTAAAAATCCGTATATTTAAATGTAGTTACAGTATGAATATATCTAGGTACCTATCATACCTATCTATCTTTCCGGATCTTTTAAAGGCTATCGATCTAGAGTTCGACACTACTTAGATGGGCCATGGATGATTTCATTGGGATACACAAGGTGGTGCCCCCCCAAATGATGTGAACGCTGGTTTATAATCCCATGGCAACTAGTTCGATATATCTACCATAAGTCCAAGTTCGTGAAATTAGAGTTACAAACATTTATAAACTAACTGAACGCGAGCTCGACTGGGGGCAGCACCTTGTAGAGGCTAACAAATCTCCAGTTACAATGTGGGGGCCCCCAGTTATGTTTGTTGGTTTAGATTCACCCCATGAATACTATAGTTATTTGCGTATCATAAACATCCATAAACCATAGTTATTGGAGTTAGTTGGTTTATAAACCTCAGTAAGTATAGTTATAGGATGTTATAGGATGTTATAGGATGTTATAGGTACCATAAACCTTCGTTATTGGAGTTATGTTCACCAACTGAACGCTATCGACGGGGGGCCCCACATTGTACTAACCAGGAATCGTGTCAGCTCCGGGATCTCAGGATGGAGGCGCTCTTGGCACGTCAGCTGGAACACGTGCCTTGGTTGATTGCCGTTGCTTGTCATCATTGGATAAGAGACTTAAGACTACTTAGATGGGCCATGGAGTTAGTTAACTAGTTAGTAAATGGATTATAATTGGGTTATAGAGGGTTATATCCCCAGTCACTAACCAGTTAGTTAATCCCATGGCCCATCTAAGTACATTTCAGAAGCACATTGAAGTATGGATTTTGTTGGATCTGAACTAGAACTAATCCCTTCCCCCTAATACTAACCCCCCCGCCTCCCCCCAAATAATAAACACCTCAGGTAGTTGGATATGTTGGGATTCAATTTCTTAAGGTCCATCAGGCCAGTTGAGATAATCATCGAACTGGATGAGAACTAATGGCAGGTCCCCACTGTTGGACAAAGCTAATTTTAACATCAAATAACTATACTATACAGTAGTCCAATTTTTAGATAGTGTTGTTTTGTTTTGTAAAATTATAGTGTTTTTGTTTTATATTAAACAAAAAACATATTGATTAGATCTCCAATGTTCACTTCCCCAATCTCCATGGCGTTTCAACAGCGCGTCGCCGTCGTTTCAAGGTGATCCTGGCCAATCAGTATCCGCGCACGCAGATCTCAGCAGCCCAGCTGCGGAAATGGGGAAGGAAAGGTTATCTGGGTGTATACTGTGTATATATATAGGATATGTTGTTTATAATATGTATGTACATATATATAGTTATATATATATATATTATATAATTATGTATATATATGGTATATATATATATTTAATTATATAATATATATATCATTATATATATATATATCATAATATATATATATATATCATAATATATATATATATCATAATATATATATATATATGTGCTTCTTGGCATGGGTCGAACTATAGCAACATGAGGAAATTCACCTCAAGAAGACATTGTTCTGAATTGTGCTGTGGGTTTCTTCACACTTTGAACCTGGCGGTGTTGGGTAACTGACCACATTACAGTCACAACTGGTGGGTGGTTTCAGGGCTATACCAATCCTGATTCTGATAGAACATCCCCAAGCCAATCGCAAAAATGTGTCCTAAATTCTTGCTTAAACTATCGACATACAATTCTTCATCGAACCGTTTTCGAGAAAGACTTCGCTTCGAAAACCACCAGCGATTACCGCAATGGCGATGCTACGAGGTGGTAATCCCCGATGTATCATGATGTACCCGGTAAACATAGCATAGCTATAGATGGCCATAGAAATAGTTGAGCCAGAACAAACATGGTGAGTTTTCATACGTGATGTTAAATTACCAAAGGGTATCCCCTACAAAGCATACTTAGATGGGCCATGGGATTAACTAACTGGTTAGTGACTGGGGATATAACCCTCTATATCCCAATTATAATCCATTTACTAATCAGTTAGTTAATCCCATGGCCCATCTAAGTGCCCCCTTTTTCTTTTTTTTTTGGCGCCTTTTACCCAGGTCATCGTTCAGCTCAGCTGCTGTGACGGCGCCGTGTCGGCCTGCGCGGGGAACGCGGCGTTTCTGGCGCTGCTGGATGCGGGGGTGGCGATGAAGGCGACGGCGATGTGCGTGGCGCTGGCCGAGACCTGGTGATGATGGGAGGATGGGATGGAAGGTGCTTGTCATTTTAAAATTGTACATATATATATACATATATATATATATACATGATTAAATTTCATTGTATATCAAAATATGTGTATAATTGTGTATATGTAAAAATATATATACACACCAAAACATATGGATTTACTACAGTTTAATGGGATCTTTTTTTTGAACTTCGTCGATGTAATCCAAAGTGGAGTCTGATGGATAATCCAGCTGGGTTATCCTAAGTTGGGGTGACTGGGTGACTGTCTATCCAAATGCAGTTGGTGAATAGACATACACCAAAAAAGATCTATCAGATATTAGGAACATTGTGTTGCAGGCTTTGTGTATACATATATATATACATTATGGAAGTTGCGGAAAATTGAATCAAGCAATTTGGGAAGAGCTACGTGTGGATCATTTTTCATGTGGTTTCCCAATGAGTGTTCCAAATCTAGTTAATTACTGGAAAGTAATTCACATAGACCATTAGGACTATGTAGGACAATCATGTTTTAGATATTATAAGAATCATGGTGTTTTCCACCGAAAAAGGTGTCTTCCTACAAACATCAACTTATGTAACCCCTAGATACCCTCAAGTACGAGGTATCTAGAATGGGTACCCCTGGAGGGGTCGACCACAAGGTTCTAAAATCATCCCCTGGGATGATTGTAGAACTTTACCCCTTATGATTTTAGAACCCTATATGTTGTCACACATATATAATTTTATATATAGTTAGATATATATATATATATATAGATAGATAGATAGAGAAATATATATATACAGATAGATTTAATATATATATATATGTATATACCCTATTCAAAGCCAACTTTTGATATCTTCCCACATGTCCTCAAAGATCAGCCAACACTACATAGAGAAAAACACATCTCAGAACCTCTTGGGTCAAGAAGATATTTTTTTTAATATATATTTTTTTTGAGTGTTGGAAGTTCCCAACTTCAAACCCTTTCAAACCAAAGCACTCACATGGCCCTTGCAAGTCTCATACACATAGCTTGGGGTCTCAGATCATATCTTCCCACATGTCCTCAAAGATCAGCCAACACTACATAGAGAACAAACATTTCAGAACCTCTTGGGTCAAGGATATTTTTTTAAAATATATTTTTTTTTTAGTGTTGGAAGTTCCCAACTTCAAACCCTTTCAAACCAAAGTACTCACATGGCCCTGGCAGGTCTTATACACATAGCTTGGGGTCTCAGATCATATCTTCCCACATGTGCTCAAAGATCAGCCAACACTACATAGAGAAAAAAACATCTCAGAACCTCTTGGGTCAAGAAGATTATATTATTTTTTTATATATTTTTTTGAGTGTTGGAAGTTCCCAACTTCAAACCCTTTCAAACCAAAGCACTCTCATGGCCCGTGCAGGTCTCATACACATAGCTTGGGGTCTTAGATCATATCTTCCCACATGTCCTCAAAGACCAACCAACACTACATAGAGAAAAAAAACATCTCAGAACCTCTTGGGTCAAGAAGATTATATTATCTTTTTATTTTCTTTTTTGAGTGTTGGAAGTTCCCAACTTCAAACCCTTTCAAACCAAAGCACTCTCATGGCCCTTGCAGGTCTCATACACATAGCTTAGGGTCTTAGATCATATCTTCCCACATGTCCTCAAAGACCAACCAACACTACATAGAGAAAAAAAACATCTCAGAACCTCTTGGGTCAAGAAGATTATGTTTTTTAAATATATATATATATTTGAGTGTTGGAAGTTCCCAACTTCAAACCCTTTCAAACCAAAGCACTCACATGGCCCTTGCAAGTCTCATACACATAGCTTGGGGTCTCAGATCATATCTTCCCACATGTGCTCAAAGATCAGCCAACACTACAGAGAGCACAAACATTTCAGAACCTCTTGGGTCAAGGATATTTTTTTAAAATATATTTTTTTTTGAGTGTTGGAAGTTCCCAACTTCAAACCCTTTCAAACCAAAGTACTCACATTGGCCTGGCAGGTCTCATACACATAGCTTGGGGTCTTAGATCATATCTTCCCACATGTCCTCAAAGAACAGCCAACACTACATAGAGAAAAAACATCTCAGAACCTCTTGGGTCAAGAAGATTATTATTTTTTTAATATATATATATATATTTTTCTTTTTTTGAGTGTTGGAAGTTCCAAACTTCAAACCCTTTCAAACCAAAGCACTCACATGGCCCGGGCAGGTCTTATACACATAGCTTGGGGTCTCAGATCATATCTTCCCATATGTGCTCAAAGATCAGCCAACACTACATAGAGAAAAAACATCTCAGAACCTCTTGGGTCAAGAAGATTATTATTTTTTTAAAATATATATATTTTTGAGTGTTGGAAGTTCCCAACTTCAAACCCTTTCAAACCAAAGCACTCACATGGCCCTTGCAGGTCTCATACACATAGCTTGGGGTCTTAGATCAGATCTTCATTCTATTGCTAGGTTAAGACTTGATCTCAGAACCCCTGTTGCTAGGTCAAGATTTGATCTCAGACCCCCTAACGTACCACTTGTTTCAGGAGGTGCAAAGTTCTGATATCTAAGTGGTGGTTTTCTAAAAGAATATGATTTCAGATACCCCAAAAGGTTCTATAATGCTGTGTCCAGGGTCCCTGGCTCGTAGTTGAGGGTATACCCCTAGAACATTAAAAAATGTGCATGAATATGAGTCAAATTGAGACAAAGGGGACCGCTAAAAATGGGTCCAATTTTAAGGTTGCAAGCCACACCTAATTGGGACGTTTGGTCACTGTCCTAGCATCCCCCCAAAGAATGGATTTGTTTAAGGGAAAATTTACAGGTTGAAGCCCCACATTTACTATAATGGGAAAATCGATGGTTTCCGGTTAAGATGTTCCCGACTAAACCAATCCGTTGAATGGTGACGATTTTGCTTGAGAGAGATTAGATAGAATATCACTATAAAAATCACCATATATATGATTTTCATATATGGTTAGTATCACCATAATATTCGGTGAATATCACTATAATTTTCATATATGTTCACTATACTTGGGATGAATATTACTATAATGGTTTTTCATTTTTCCAATTAGTGATATATGATGATATTGACCCAAACTAACAGACCATGGCCTAACGATGCCTGACCCGACCCTATGTCAACCGTGGCAACCGTTTGATGGCCATGTTTTCGACGGCAACGATTCGATGAAGAAGCGATTCGAGCTAGTTGAAGTAATCGTATGTCCAATGAAAGTCCCACAGGATCCTTTGTAATTCCATATATATATATATACCTATGGCGTCAAGAACCTACTTTTTTTTGGGTTGAAATATGAAATATGTTTTTGTTTTACCATATATATATATATATATGTAGGTCGATAGCTAGTAAATCCTATAAACATACCATGTTTAGGTGGAGCAACATCCATCCATATTGAACATGTATTAATCTGGTTGGTGGTTTGGAATATTTGTTAGTTTTCCATATATTGGGAATGTCATCATCCCAACTGACGAACTCCATGATTTTTCAGAGAGGTAGGCTCAACCACCAACCAGTAATTTTTCATAATCCATGTTAGATAACCATAATAAACCATAATATAAAGGGGCCATTTGCCTATTAGTTACATTGAAAAACCATAATAAACCATAATAATAACCATAATAATCCATGTTACATTGAATAAACCATGTTTATGTGGATGGCCATCAATTTGTTCACAATTCACCTCAGATTTTTCCGGATTCCCAGGTGAAGTTGGAACCAGAACCAGTGATTTGGTAGCCTGGCTGGGACGGTTGTAGCTTGGTGGTGTGTCTTTGAGGTACTAAAAAAAAAACATGGAAACTGCGTGTAATACTTGTTTGTGAAATCTGTGTGTTTCCTGTATCTAGATGATTCTAGATGTTTTTTTTTTGGAAAGTTATGGTAGCTAGGTTTTATGCAATGATGATGTTTCATGGACATGAATGATGTTTCATGGACATGAATGATGTTTCATGGACATGAATGATGTTTAATGGGAATAATTCTCACAACAGGAATATCTAGCAACCAGAAGAAGAAAACAGTCACGTGACCAGAACATACACCTAGAAAGATGGGGAAGTGCAAGGTGGTGCCCCGCAAGTTATAAGTTGGTTTATAATCCATTAACTATAGATATATCTACCATAAGTCCTAATTATTAGAGTTATAAACCAACTTAGTTGCCCTCTGGTAAACTAACATAACTATGGAAAATCACCGTTTTAAATGGATAAATCAACTATAAATGGTCATTTTCAATATCTATGTTTGTTTACCAGAGGGTATCTTGGAGGCACCACCTTGTAGAACTGGCAACATTTCAAAATTAATGGCCCGATTGGTGGCCTCCAAGAGAGATCAGTTGATTTACAACGAATGCAACTGTTGGGGTTGTGTGAACATAGCGGATATATCGAACTAGTTAGATTAGGTGATCCACGTGGATCCGAGAAAAATCATCAACAAACTGACCACAAAGGGGGGGATCCTCTTTGTGGAACCGTTTGGATGGATTTCCAGAAACAAAGAGGGAGCAAACGGTTTGGAATGTAATGATGATTGCTTATGAATCGAAGTGTGTGTCTGGTTAATGGTAAAAACAGCGGCATAACCATTTGGATTGGATTGGATTGGATTCATTGCGCCCAAAGACCTGACGGTCATGAAATTCACGAAAAAACCCATCAAATCATTCCCAGCAAACATAGAATAATAGATTAGTGGGATTATATATGGAGTCTATCCACATAATTCTGTATGTTTTTTGATGTATGAGTTTTGGATGATTTCATGATTGAATGGCGCCATACTCTCTGGTAATTTGTTACATAGTTATATACATAGCTACTGAAAATGGCCCATAGAAATATGTGATTTACCATTTTGCAAAATTTGTGGTTTTTCAGTTCGCTATGTAAACGTTTACCCGAGGGTAAATCCTATTATATCTCATTGTATCCCCATTATAATTCCAGTGTTGATATTGTTGTTGGTTATATATCCGGTGTTGATATTGTTGTTGGTTAGTCTACCAGAAATTGTTGATATATCCCTTACCCTCTGGTAAACGGTTACATAACTATGGAAAATCACATTAAAATGAATGGGTGAAACAACTATGTATGGCCATTTTCAATAGCTATGCAGCCATCTTAGTGTACCAGAGGGTACATCATGATACATCTATATAATTATAATGGGGATGATAAACCCCATTATTTTTATTCCATGGTTGATATTGTTGGTGAGTTTACCTGCTATGGTATCCCTTCAATTTTCATGCCCTTTTCATGGCCCAAAAGATTTGTGGTTCACTTCTTCAGGTTGGACCCGACTGAAGCGGAGGAAGCTCAATGTGACGCCCTGATTTCACTCAGCGTGGATGGCAGTCGCAGCATGGCAACAACGGATTCATGGGGAGTAGGAAGATGTGCTTTACAGCCTCTTTACTTGGGTATATTTATAAGTCACTATAAGCTATAGATACTAGGGTACATCATACTGTCAACCTATTGTTTGTTCTTGATTTCTTGTTTGGTTTGCTGGAGAACTTTCAGCAGGTCCGCAGGTCACGTTGCTTCACAGCTGCGGCTTGGATCAACGAGTTTTTGATGGGTTATGGCACCTTTCGGTTTGATATATCATAGACTTTAAGCAATTCTTGGGAAGACCCAGCTGCATAAAAACTATGTAACCTATGACATGCTATAGCCTATGAAAGACCCATGTCTAAGGGTTTTTAAAAGTCACTTGAGTTGCAGATGGAACATCCAAACTTCCAGGAGTATCCAATTTGGGGAGTTAACCAACAGTGGAAAGTAGAAGAACAACTGAAGATGGCTTCCGAAGGGTTTTGATGAGTTTATGATAAGTGATGTTTACCGACCAGCAATGACACATCTCCATGGATGCGCTGCTTTCTGGAACTACCACAAGGTATCCCCATTATAGCTCAAGAAATGGTTGGATAAGTATTATCAAATCAGAATTTGAGCAGCGTTTAAAACCATATCTCCCATTAAATCCCATTAAGTCGTTATTTGTTCTTTGTTAAATACCATTAAACCACCATAACTTTGTTGCTTAAATCTCATTATATAAGCCACCATTTTTGTTGGTTAAATCCCATTAAATCACCATTTTTGTTGCTTAAATCCTAGCCAAAACACAATTTTTGTTGGTCAAATCCCATGAAATAAATCACCATGACATCATCATTTCTTCCGCTGAAAATTTCATAACGTCACCATGTTCCTTTGTCAAATTCCCATTCCACCATCATTGTCGTTTGCATCACCATTTTTCTTGGTCACATCCAATGAAATCACCATGTTCCATATGGTTTAGCATAAAACAAAATGAAAACTTCCAAAACTGCTACAATGAAATCACCATCTTACCATCCAAACTTTCGCAGAATCGCTGCTTTTAAGGCAACCAGTTGGTGTCCAACGTCTCCAGTGGAGCCTTTCTGGACGCCGCCACATGGGCCAGCTGCATTGAAGCGGCCGGCAAGTCCTGTAAGGCCGCGGGCGGGTCATTGCCAGGGCCGGGCCAAATGCGGATGGAATCAGGATTTCAATGGGGTTTACCCTCTGGTAAACTATATAACAACTATGGAAAATCAGTATAAATGGCCAGTTTCAATAGCTATGTTAGTTTACCAGAGGGTATATAGCTATGAAACAACTGGGGATGAAATTGGATTTACCTATGGAACATTGTGATTTAATAAGATTTTAACATATTTTAACTGTTAATTAACCAACAAACAATGGGAGCTCAAGAGATTTCAGAAAACCAGAGTGATTTCATGGGAGACTCGGGAGTTGTTTTCAAGAAAAACATGTTATTCAATGGGATTTAGTGGGATACAATGGGGATTTCCCAACTAGCAATATTAGCCTCTGGTTATTTAACATAGCAACTGGGAAATCACCATTTTTTATAGATAAATCATCATGTTTATCATCTATAAATGGGCCACTTTCCTTAGCTACGTTAAATAACCAAAGGGTAGTGAACATTGCACTTACCCAAGAATTGCTATTTCAAAGGGGAGGAATAACGATCAACTATAGTGGATAGAATGGGGTACCCTACTTTCAGACAAAGCCAAGAAATTTTTGGATATGACCACCCAAAAACTGGTTGGTGGTTTGGAACATGTTTTTATGTTTCCCATCATATTGGGAATGTCATAACCCCAACTGACGAACTCCATGATTTTTCAGAGAGGTAGGCTCAACCACCACCCAAAAATGTGTTCTAAGAACTGTGTGATTTTGTTTGCAGTGTTTGTGTTTCTCTGATAATCAGATGCAGCAAGAAATGGGCATTTGACTGCACTATAGGCAGTTGAGCTTCATATCTTACATGAATTCCCTGCATGGATGACATATTACGGGCATGGGTCACAACCCATTGTTATCACATTTGGTGGGAATAACCATGCACTAACCAGCTATTTTAGGGTACCTAGGCTACTAGGATTTCAACCCATAGCTGCTTATCTACATAGTACCAAGGACCAACCTGAAAAACATGAGTTTGATCCGTTGATCTCCAGTAAATTGCCATAGTAATATGGTTTTAACCATTTTCCCAGGCAAAAGACAACATGTTCCACCGTTTTTTTCCATGTTTGACCTGGGATTCAGCATCACTCACCTGTCCTGAGGTCCTTGAGGCCTTCATGCGTATGAGCCTTCAAAAGCGTCTAGAAACGTTCCTGAAGCCCGGCTGAGGGTCCTGAAGCCGGGTCACAAGGACGGTGACGTGATCGATGGAAACGAGTTGATGTGAAGTGATTTTACCATTGAAAAGATGGGGGGTTGAACATGTTTTTTTCTGTTTGTTCAATGGTTTGAATCAATATGAATCAATAATATAATAAAACCAATAATTAAGTTTAAGGATGGTTGATATTGAAGGAAACTGAGTTGGTAGCGGATATTGCTGAAGACTTAGAGAGGATGAACATTGAAAGATCTCTGGTGTGTCGGTGTGTTTTGTGATTCACATGATCTTAGCTTGCTGCATTTACCCTCTGGTAAACATACGTACAAAAAACTATGGAAAATCACAATGTTTAATGGGTAATTTTGAATCCACTATAAATGGCCATTTTCAGTTGGGGGCTTATTGTTCGAACTGACAGCTTTGAGAGATAAGCGAAAAAGGATTGGAATGGATTGTCAAAATTCCTTCCTTACTGTACTTAGCTAGTCGTTGATAATGGTTGATATATCGCCTCTGATATCGGTCAACCCTGTGATATCAGCGGGTGCATTCATCGCGCTGAACGCGAGTGGCAAAGAAAGGGCCCTGTGGTACTGCGGCTGGGTGGAATGTGGGTTGATGTTCAACCCTCTGGCCATTCAATGTAGTGATGGAAAATCAATGAACATCTCCGTTTTGAATAGGTAGATCATCAGAAATCAGCTACAAATGAGCCAATAATATCCATAGTATCCAGTTCGCTATGTCAAATAACCAGAGGCTTTTGTGATTGTCCGATGGCTGGTGGTTTTATGACCCAACAATGGATACAGCAAACTCGTGAATCATTGGGTAAGTTCTGACACTTCAGTCCTCTGTTCAGTCCTGGGATTATGATTCACCGAAATCAGACAAACCGGACACGTTTTTAGCGCCGAAAAAGGGAAGTTGGGACCTACTGAGTGAATATCTCGAAAAAAAATCCCCATTTCCCATTGAATCACCGTGTATCCATGGTTACTTATTGTGTTCCCAATGAACTCGAAATGTTGAGATCGATCTGTGTACTCCAAGTCAGAACCAAGCTTTTACACATCTTTACACCACGTGTTCTTGGTTAAATCCCATTAAATCAGCATCTTTCTTGTTTAAATCTCATAAAATCACAATTTGTCCATTGTTAAATCCCATGAAATCCAACATTCTCCGTGAAATCCTTTAAACATGCACCATTTCTCCATGGAACCAGTCCAGAAGGAGGGAAGCCCCACACCTTATCGACGCCCAACACAATGTGGGGCCCCATAGAAAAGAAAAGTAGATTCCATTATAATATTATATATATATAGATTCCTACTAAATAGTGATGAATTACATTTCTATCTTGTTGATGCTTGCACTTGCAAAAAACATGTATAATCATGTATAATTATAATATATAATTGGGAAAATTATAATCATGTATATTATAATTATATAATCATGATTATAGTGGGAATTTTCCCAATTGCCTCAGGTAAGGAAACAGGGCAATTGGGAAAATGTCCCATTGATCGAGCGCCACCTTTTCGCGCCGCCAGGTGCTCCAGGTCTGTGATGACCTTGGCATCGAAACGGCACCTGCGGAGGCGCGAAAGCTTGTCCGTTTGGGCCCGGAGAGGGATTCGTCGCGGAGAATCTGGGAAAGCCATAGGAAAACCATAGGAAAACCATAGGAAAACCATAGGATCTGGTTGGTGGTTTGGAACATGTTTTATTTTTCCATATATTGGGAATGTCATCATCCCAACTGACTAATATGTTTCAGAGGGGTTGAAACCACCAACCAATTTTTTTTGTTGGGAAAAACAATAAGGAAAGGAAAGGAGAAAACATGAAATATATGATATGTTACATGTTATCCCTTTTGGGACAGTTGGATTGATAATTGGTATTAATTTGCCAAATGGCTTTCACAGCTGGCTTTCACAGCTGGCTTTCACAGCTGGTTGTTTTAGGTAAGGATTCAAGGTTGCACATGGATACCATGGAGGTATGCGGGAGCCTGAAAAAACATGCTACTCAGACGGGCCATGGAGTTAGGGAAAACTAGTTAGTAAATGGATTATTTCATTGGGATTTTTCCAGGGTAACAAATCCCCAGTTACTAACCAGTTAGCTAATCCCATGGCCCATCTAAGTACGTATGGGCCTTTTGAGAATCTTGGAGGGTAGCATCCTTTGAACTGCAGTTGTAATATAGACATGAAATCCAACATGGGAAACGCATACTTGTGCCATTGAAAGTGTCTGAATGAAAGCAACAAATGTTCGTTTCAAGTTTACAGTTTACATTGGTAGTGTTTCTTGAAACCTAAATGGAACCCAAAACAACAAAACATATATAACTACCTAGACCCTCCATTCACCCATGGGCATGTTATCCTATAACTTGTTTTTTTTACCCCACAAATTCTTGGGTAGAAACTGGTTGTGTCTTGGCAATGACAACTGCACGGATGACTTGCCAGGTGGCGGCTGGCATTTTCGTTCTGCCCATGTTTTCCTGGTGCCAGGGAGGGGCTGTTGTCGGGGCCGCACCTTGTGTTGCCCACAGTGAAATGTGTGTTGCAGCACAAAAATCCCTGTTGGTGTGGAGAACCCCCCATGAAAACTGGTGAAAACTGGATTTTCTTCATACGAGAAACCCAACTTAGTTAACCTACTTTTTTGTCAGCCAACTTACCTCACAAACTGGGGCATCAACTTAAATTAAATGAAATGTATTTCATCATCTTGCTCAAACTCATGTATTTTTTCATGTCTTATAGACACTCACCTTTCCACTAAATAACCAGCCTCAGTGGAAGCCTGGCCACAAATGTTGACCATTCGTGGCTCGCAGATTGGTGGTAAGCGCTCACCCTTGGTCCAATGTCTGAGACAAGTCATATCCCATAGGATCCATGTATGGTGTATATATATATGGTAACATTTACCATCAATATACCCCCAATGTTAGCATATGTACCATACATGGGAACAAACCGCGAATCAGAAACTTACCGCGAATCAGAAACAAAGAATCAGAAACTAAAAGCCGCGAATCAGAAACTAAAATCCGCGAATCAGAAACCAAAATCCCGCGAATCAGAAACCAAAAATCCCGCGAATCAGAAACTAAAATGCGCGAATCAGAAACAAAAATCCGCGAATCAGAAACTGAGAATCAGAAACTAAAAACTGCGAATCAGAAACTAAAATCCCGCGAATCAGAAACCAAACTCCCGCGAATCAGAAACCAAAATCCCGCGAATCAGAAACCAAAAACCGCGAATCAGAAACCAAAACCAGAAAACCAGAAACTAAAAAACACACGAGAGCAGGTGCGTTTCGACTGAGGCAACAGACAGACTGTGACGTTGGGACTCTTCAGACACAGTTGAGTAAACCATATTTTGAACAAGCAGCTTCTGAATACTTGCGACTCCATGAAAGCTGCGACACTCTCAACTTCAACTTCTCTTCTTAAGAAATCAAATCCGCCATCCTCCTCTGGCCACTATGTTGAATAGGATATTACCTTCTACTTCACTTCAAAAGAAATTAAATCCGCCACCCCCTCTGGCCACTATGTTGAATAGGATATTAACTTCAACTTATCTTCATAAGAAATCAAATCCGCCACCCCCTCTGGCCACTATGTTGAATACGATATTACCTTCTACTTCACTTCAAAGGAAATCAAATCCGCCACCCCCTCTGGCCACTCTGTTGAATAGGATATTACCTTCTACTTCACTTCAAAGGCAATCAAATCCGCCACCCCCTCTGGCCACTATGTTGAATAGGATATTACCTTCTACTTCACTTCATAAGAAATCAAATCCGCCACCCCCTCTGGCCACTATGTTGAATACGATATTACCATCTACTTCACTTCAAAGGAAATCAAATTCGCCACCCCCTCTGGCCACTATGTTGAATAGAATACTACTTTCTACTTCACTTCATAAGAAATCAAACCCGCCACCCCCTCTGGCCACTATGCTACATAGGATATTAACTTCAACATATTTTCTTAAGAAATCAAATCCGCCACCCTCCTCTGGCCACTATGTTGAATAGGATATTACCTTCTACTTCACTTCAAAAGAAATTAAATCCGCCACCCCCTCTGGCCACTATGTTGAATAGGATATTAACTTCAACTTATCTTCATAAGAAATCAAATCCGCCACCCCCTCTGGCCACTATGTTGAATACGGTATTACCTTCTACTTCACTTCAAAGGAAATCAAATCCGCCACCCCCTCTGGCCACTATGCTCAATAGGATATTACCCTCTACTTCACTTCATAAAAAATCAAATCCGCCAACCCCGTCTGGCCACTATGCTACATAGGATATTAACTTCAACTTATCTTCTTAAGAAATCAAATCCGCCATCATAAGAAATCAAATCCGCCACCCCCTCTGGCCGCTACGCTACATAGGATATTCGCTTCAACTTATCTTCATATGAAATCAAATCCGCCACCCCCTCTGGCCACTATGTTGAGTAGGATATTACCCTCAACTTCACTTCAAAGGAAATGAAATCCGCCACCCCCTCTGGCCACTATGTTGACTAGGATATTACCTTCTACTTCACTTCAAAAGAAGTCAAATCCGCCACCCTCCTCTGGCACACTATGTTGAATAGGATATTAACTTCAACTTATCTTCATAAGACATCAAATCCGCCACCCCCTCTGGCCACTATGCTAAATAAGATATTACCCGCTAATTCACTTCATAAGAAATCAAATCCGCCAACCCCGTCTGGCGACTGTGTTACATAGGATAGCACCTACAACTTATCTTCATACGAAATCACATCCTCCTTTGACATTCATCTTACCTTCGGACTGATTTCACTCCCATGATTTGCCGTGGTCTGATCCCAATTAAAGAGAACCCATGCAATCCACTCCATTGGAAGAAGACAAGTTGCCCATTAGGATTGATGAACAGGTTTTAGTTTCCGATTCTTTTGGTTTCCGATTAACAGGTTTTAGTTTCCGATTCACCTGCTTTAGTTTACGATTCAGCTTTGGTTCCCGATTCCGGGTTTTTGGTTTCCGATTCAAGGGTTTTAGTTTCCG